ATATTCGATGATGAGACCAATTTTCTTGTTTGTAAATGTAAAAAGTCATTGACCTAGCTGGAATTTATAGATAATACAGAGGTTCTATAACATGAACAGAAATACAGAGAAAGGCAGAAGAAGATAAAGATAATATTCCTATATAAATTGTAGTGAATTCCTACCCAAGGGGAAATGTGAAACCCTAAGGGCAAGAAATTCACATTTTAGTAAATCCTCTTTAATCCTTCCATCCCTGAAATTTGAATCAATTTGATAAATTTTAGTCACCTGCTTAGAGCTCTATGGGTGGGAGCATATAATTCCTTTATGTAAAATTTTATTAAATTTGGTTCAGGACTAACCAAAAAATCCCCAACATATCCAAAGTCCAGTTAACATTACAAAGAAACAAAATTCTATGAAGTGTACAATTGTCTTGCAGGTATGGAAATATGATGTATTTTAGTGTTACTTCAATTACAAGCTTTTCTTTGACTATGAATCAGTACTATGACAGTGTAGTGCTAAAGCTTAACATGAAGTGGACTAATAAGTGGTCTGTTCTCACAGGTAGTCTCTCAATAGAGGTGATCTCTTTACACAGGTGGTCCTCGGTCTAGGCAGAAGGGTCAAAATAAAGAAATGAAAAACCCAAACAAACAAACACCAAGATCATCTTGAGACTTCAACTTCACAAATTCAGTTTATATCATAATCATGGGATAATATCATCAAATTCTATATTGTATACTCGATAAAGATTTGGTGATCAAAATCAAATAATGAAAGGCTATTTTTATAGCTTTTAGAACAATTTTACTGCAGTTGTTATCCCAATGTCCTGTCTTGATGATGGGATTCACACTTCTGATCACTTTTTGACATTTTTCATGACATCTACTGATCAGATTCTAGCGTTCCATACTTATAGCAGACAATTCATGTCTGCCAAGCAGGATTGTACTTCAACCAGCTTCAGCTATTTATTATTGATGCTGAGGCTCAAATTCTGTGTGCATCTGAGATCGCATTTGGGAAAGTTGACATCATTGCATGTCTTCAAACAGAGTAATCTAAACAAAATTGGTGAAAGGCACATTCATTTTCAGCAGAACAATACAATCTAGGTTTGTTTTTCAGTTTAAAGTTTGCCTTTGTGCTATGAAGTAAATGTTTGATTCATTATCATGTTGAACAGATATACTTTACTGTTTTTGAAAGTATGAAATACAGTGGTTCAGGGTAGTTTTATATTGTGTAACGTTATGTAAAAATCTTTTTAGCCTTTTCCAGTTTTTTATAAGTAATGTACACATGTTAACTGTTAAGATGAAATAAATGTATTCAGGCTATTGCACCATAAAAAAATTGAAGGATAAGATTATTCTGTGCTGACAGGCGTGTCTCAAACAGGGGCTTTTAGCTTTTGATATTGTTCGTATTGCCTCTAAATCTTAGAAAAAAATATAGCAAGTTGAACTTTAAAGATGTTGAATTTCACTGAAGTTGCAAATGCTATTGTCTACTTTTGTTTTTAAATTAAGTTATTACTACTGTCTGGTTTTATTAACAGCATTTCTTGAAATAAGTTTTGATTCATTTTTACAAATATGCTTAAAAATGATTTATTGATTGACAGGGGGTTTAATGTCTGTGTTAATACTACTTAAAAACTAACCTTCTGATTCTAATTTTTTTATTTGAACAACAAAATACTTCACTATCAAGCAAATATTCATATTGTATTTTACTAGTATACATTTAGTTATATTTGGTTAGTTTCCCCAGTATTTCTGTAAGGGGAGATAAATCTATTTCTTTTTCAATTAAAATTCGAATATACCTGTTTAACTTTGACCTTATTGATTTAAATCTAAATAGAACAATTCCTTAATATCAATATAACATTATCCCTCACTAAAAGCAAGAAATTTATATGCAATAATGAATTACTAGACATCTAGCTGTAAATACATCAGCAGCAGCTAATGCGCTATTACTTTCCGTCCCTCCATCCGTCTGTCCCATTTCTAGAACAGGTATTGCTTTCAGTGCAACAACGGAGGTGGGGGCATCAATCGTGCCCCCGATATTCCATATCCAAATCTATCGGATCTACAGTGGTGATACGGACCGTGAAAGTCCGGTCATTTTTGGCAAGAGGCTCTGAATATCAACGTTCATGAAGGAGATGTACGACTCTAAAAACGGAAATTTCTTCAGAGTACGTAGATAAAGGGAACTGGGGTCAAAATCACTTGATAACATTTTCAGATACATCGCAATTACGATATTAGGAACTACAGAGAAAAGAACAGGAGTATGAAAAGATGATGATATCAAACTGCTGACACCCAGTATGAACGTAAAAAAACATAGTAACACAATAACAGGAGAAACAGCAGAAAAGAAGATTTGAAAATTGTATTGTGAAGACGTGTACATGCAAAATAAACCGAAACGTGTACTGAGTGAAATAAAATCAGCCATGAAAAGTACTGGGAATAATAACCAAAAGGATTGGAAGGGGACAAATATCAGTTGAAGAGTTTCTGGAGGGAAAAAATTGACATGGAAGTATTTATCAAAATAATCATTATTTTAACAAGGACAAATGTAAATATGATTTTTTAAAAAATTCATCCATAAAACTTTCGTAAGAGTGTGATAACATTAGACTCTCGTGCCAATTCTATAAATCCGACAAATTCCTGGATATAAACTCATGTAAATATTTGGATGTAATTGGAATCTAGAAGGAATATCAACACATAATTTAGATAGTTACCACGACAAATCCACTTATTAAGCTTTCCGTTTTGCCATCAGGAGTTTTTGTTAATTTCATACCAGACTTTTGGCGAGAAAAATGATATGACGGCAGGTTAGGACCATCTCGCTCTCTCGCACAGAGCCCGTGGCGAGGTCGTGATCTCGCTCCCTCACCTTCCGTCATCACCTCTCGCCATTGTGATTTTACCCGACGTTGGTCACAAGTATCCTTGGGGGGAATTCTCGAAATTTCAGCTGACGCATTTTTTGGTGAAGGGACTCGGTGCTGTATAACCGGCGGGTCTCGGGTTCATGGAGCCATGGAGAGGTGGGGAAGGTAAGGGGGTAGGGGTGGGGGCCCAAATAGGTGAAATATAGCAAATTCTTTGAATTCCTTCTTCTGTTGGAATGTCAGGTTTCTGTCCAAATTTGGTCTGGATCATCACTGAGCGGGAGACATATAAATATTTTAACTAACACCCTGAGAACATAAGGTAGATGGCCGCCAAACAAAACCAGATGAGCGATATTTAATATTTTTGTGATGATTGTTTAAAAGAGTTATCGTTCTGGCCTAGAAATCTCCACTCTAAGTTTTTATCATATTCTATTGAAAAGTATCCCTGTTTATTCATTTCGAAGTAAGACATGTTTGTCGGTATCATCTAGCGGCTTCATTTTGAGAGGGATTTAATAATGCTTTACGCGGATGTAGAGGACCATTTTAACTTGAATGACGTCAAGTTTCAAGGTCCTTGGATTAAGGCCACGCTTGTGAATTTTTTCATTCATAGATAGCAACAGACCTACATCCCCAATGAATATGTATACATGTCGCTGTGGAGTTCGATATTCAAAGGCCTGTTATCACGAATATTTCTTTGTGTGTAATACAGTCGTACGTGTTTTGTCCTCGTTTGTTTCCCTGTTGGTTCCGTTATTGTATACCTTCTTCCCATTTGAGAACGTGACATCATAACTATTTCTGTAAACTTCGACACTAGTTTAGGAGCTGACAGCGCCTCTGCCAAAACAAAACAAAAAACAAAAAAACAGGAAGAGCTACAGACCAACTGGCAGAAATTGGTGACGGAACTTGGATTAACCTAGATTTACATGGCGGATATCTTCGATAAAGTTAAAAAAACAAAACAAAAACACAAAAACAAAAAACATCGTAACCACACTGTCGTTTTCTCCTGGAATTTTTCCATTAGTGGGTGTCCGTCGGCGGTTGTCTTTACGTGATCTGTCTAAAATCAAAGGGGCGCAACTAGGAACCCGAGTGGACCTTCAAATGAACACTAACAAAGATCCATCAAGTAACAGATTACAAAAAATAAAGCTATAAGAAGTAAAACATTCGATAAAGGTGTCTAAAAAGGTCGTCACAACACGGCGTTTGCTAAAATTACCGATTAGAGTATTTTCTCACCGCCTTTGCAGGTGAATTCCAATTTGTTGGAATATCTCTGGCTTTTACACAGGAATGGTTAATGTTATTTCATTCGGAATGTTTTGGTCTACGATGCCCGAATATCTCATGAATGCGGCTATTCCGTCTTTTCACTAACACGAGTTATGCCGCTTGCTACCGAGTTATCGTACTTCCCCGGTATGTTCACTTCCGGTTTATATGTTTTCCTAGCGGCATTTTTCAAGTTTGGTTGTGGATGGATATGTTTTCTTCCAAAACAACGTATGAAGACATTCTTAATTTATAGAAAAAATAAAAATACAAATATTTCTGAAGGAAAAATAAACAACTGGCAAAAAGCATTCTTGCTCGAAGGGCCTTTGATTATATTCAGGTTACGCTCAGAATTTCAACAAGTGATAGCGGTGAATTAAACGAAGAAAGTAAGTCTACTTGCTATACTGTCACTTATAGAAAGATTCCAAATCTTGATGACTTCGATATTGTTCTATTATTCAGCCCTTGAATAATTACTTAATTAAGACAGATAAACAAGACCGTCAGCTTCGTGGACTCGGTATAATTCAAGATGGCGTCATACATGGAAATTACATAACACGTGATTATAGTCTGTTTCATATAAGTGCTTGTATCAAATAGGATAACACTACATTTCCCTTTCAAAGTTCCTTTATTACTGTTTTTCGACTACTTTTACACTAAAACTGTCAAAGTTTTTCCACGAATGTTATTGAGAACTAAGAGGAACATTTTAAACTTTAAACTTTTAAAAAACTTTTTAACTTTTAACTATCAATAACTTTTAACTTTATAAGTCCATCCTCTTTGGCGGCACTGACATCCGTCCAGATCTTGTTTGGTAGCCATTACGTGTACTTTCCATCGGACGCGACGTGGGCTCGGTACGATTCTGGTGGTGGTCAACGATCGGCGGTCGCGTAACACTAGCTGTAGGAATGTTATCGTACTCTATCGGTTCCGGAAGTTTCGGTCCAGTCGTTGGTACGATATGGCGACGGTTTCTACGCACTCCGCCTGTTGGTGTATTAACGACGTAGGATCGAGGGGTCGGTGCAGATTTCACGACCTCTCCACGAGTTCCACTGTCCTTTATCCAAACGCGATCTCCTGGATTGAGCGGTGCAAGATTTCTGACGCGATGACGGTGATCATAATTCCGTTTTTGGTTGTCGCACAGCTCAGTTTCTTTGTCCTTCACCTCTGTTAGATAAGGCCATTTTGAGATGAGTGTTTCTGGCTTAACTGGCACCTTTGTTCGGATTTGTCTATCCATGCAAAGTTCGGCAGGGCTATGCCCACGTGATAAGGGCGTCGCACGATACGACATTAGGGCGACGTACGGATCCTTGTTTTTGCGCAACAGATTCTTGATAGTTTGCACCGCGCGTTCCGCTTCACCATTGCTCTGTGCATATCTCGGACTGCTGGTCACGTGTTGGAATTAAAATTCCTTTGCGAAGCGCACAAACACTTCAGACTTCAAACTACTGTGGTCGTTATCAGAAATAAGCACATCTGGTATCCCGTGACGGCTAAATATGGATTTGAGATGTACGATCACATCCTCCGATGACGTTGACGACAACTTGGCGATTTCCACAAAACGTGAGAAATAGTCAACAACAAAAAGGTATGTTTTCCCTTTGAAATGGAAGAGATCTGTACTCGCGCGTTGCCATGGACGTGTCGGTAGCGGAGTTGGTATTAACGGTTCGGCAGAGTCATTCCTTGCCTCGGCACAGATATGGCAAGAATTTACCACGTCCTCGATTTGGCTGCTAAGACTATGCCACCAGACTGACGATTTCGCGCGTTCTCGACACTTCGCGATTCCTAAGTGGCCCTCGTGCAATTTCTCTAGGATCTGTGTCCTTAGAATAGGCGTTATAACATGTCTATCACCTTTCAACAACAATCCGTCAACCACGGTGATTTCACCTCGCAGTCCCAAATACGGTCTCACAAGTTCGTCTTGGTGCGTTTTGTCACTCGGCCATCCTCCCAATGCAAGTGTCATCAACTTTGAACATACTGGGTCGGATTTTAGTTCAGTCCGCGTTTGTTCCAACAGAGAGAGTTTATCGCGGAAAAATTGTCCACAATCGACTCCACAAAACACTGCGTGTTTTTGGTGAAATTCTCCTCTTGGGCTGAAATACCCCCACGCAAGGGGGAGGGGGACAACGTATCTGGCGTGTAAAGTTCCTTCCCCGGCACGTGGATTATGTCATAGCTGAACCTCATAAGTCGCATACGGAAACGCTGAATACGCGGCGGAAGTTGGCTCAAACCCTTGGAACCAAGCAGGGAAATCAACAGCTTATAGTCGGTTTCCATTCGGAACTTCAATCCTATGATAGGGTCGCTAAATCGGTCGCATGCCCACGTGGGGGCTAGAGCCTCTTTTTCGATTTGCACGTAACGCCGTTCCGTCAGAGTTTACGCACGCGAACATGACGCTACTGGTCTCCGCACTCCGTTTTCTTGCACCTGTGTGATGACTGCCCCGATTCCAAATCCTTTTTTATGTCCGAAAATGCCTGCTCTTGGGCGCTACCCCATGACCACATGTTCTTTTTACTGAGCAGGTTGCGAATCGGTTTCGTTTTCTCTGCGAGATTTGGCGAGAACTTTCCCATCTGGTTTACCATTCCCAGAAATCGACGGACTCCAGAAATAACTGTAGGCGAATCCATGTCGCGGATTGCCTTGACTCTGTCGGAGTCAGGCGATATTCCATCACTGTTTATGACATGTTCGACGAATTTAATTTCGGTTTTGGAAAATGCACATTTCTCACTCGTGTACGATTTTATCTGAACCATAAACGAGAACATCGTCGGTCTGACACACGACTCCTTGCTTGTATCAAATAGGATAACACTACAGATATTGGTTGGAACAGCGGGAAAAGTCTGTTACCAATGATTACACATAAAGATGTTGAAACTTACCTTATTCAGAGCAGTCACCGGACGGAGGAGAAGGCGAAAATGCATTGCTACAGACAGTTTATCAAGGGTTTCAATTCTATAAAGAAGGATATATACATAAAATAATGACCAACCAGATCGATGACAATTGTGATTTATGCTACGTGCGATCGAAATGGTATTTTGTCTGCTTTTCAACAAATTTACTTGTATTTAGGTGGAGTGCAAGTACAACTTCCTCTGGTGAGTTATTCCACATTTTTACAGTTTGGGTCAAACGTATTCACAGCTAACTTCAGGGTAACTTTTACATGGAATTCATAATAATAAATTTTAATAGATAATAACAATAATTTCCATGCATCTTTGGTAAATAGGCTTACAGTATATAGTCATAATCATTTAAGAAAATACATAATGTCTAATATCAATATTATATCGCACTTACCGACACCAATAACAATAATTTACATAATTGGGGCTATTACCGGTAATTACTGTGTAGACAATTATATATAATGTATAATTTCAGAGGTCAGCTGCTTACTACAATCATTTATTATGAAATTGTCATTGCCTAGTTTTTCAAGTGAAGTCGTAGTTTTTCACAATAACATGTACTTTAAATCTCGTAGTCAAGTCAGAAAAAATACGGCTGCCTTGTCACCCAGTTGATTTGGGTTTTCCTCATTGTGTGTGTGTCTTTACGTCTCTGAGCCAAATGCTGAGTCGTACCTTGTCTGGGTCATGTTTCGTAGGTCCAACGCCATGTGTGAAATTATCAGAACAAACCCTTGTGTAAGACGACGGCTTATAGTTTTTTTTGACTGATCACACGTAGCCATTGTCCCCGAACCGTTTTTTTTTTGCCAGGAAGTCTGTATAATTTCACTGGTATCCCAAATCTCCCAATTTTCCCAGGATAATTATTACATTCCGTCAATGCACAATAGTCTCGCCACATGACGGAAGTGAACGATATCTGCTTACAAGAACGATAACTCTGTAGCAGGAACGATATCTCGCACAGATAAAACTAGGGAATCGGGAGTTCGAAGTGCAATCTATTTTTAGATTGACGGGTTTATTGTTACGCTCTTGAATTACTGAGAATGTATAGAAAACAATCAGCACATGTATATATCATTTGTCCAATGACATTACAAGAAATCGGCAGGTTAAAATTGATAATGACTGCCTTTTGTGCTTAAATATGTAAAACTAATATGCTTCATTGGAAGAAGTGTAATAAAAATCCTATCGCAGAAGTAAAAAAAAAAAACAAAACAGGAAATTCAAACGAAGAAATATACCTCCACGCAGAAGAGCGTAACAATTAACCCGTTCATCTAGAAAATAGATTGCACTTCGAGCTCCCGATAGCCGCATTCGATCGATACCCGGATTCTCCACTTTTTTTCTCTCTCCCATTCTGATCTCCTAGTTTACTGACCTCCGTTTCACTCTGGTAGTACCTTTGATGTATCCTTCCGCTTTTTTTCTGTATTGAGGTTCAGTCACAATGCTTCCCTAAGTCAATCGATGCTTTGTGTTACAAAGTGTCGCGAAAAATGTTCCTCAAGTAGAAATTGGGAGCGAAAAGGTTTCGACCAACCAGAGCTCATCTTACATGCACTGTTCGCTTCAAGATAGGGTCTAAGAACATACATTATTATAAGTATCTGCATTCATATTCTGCAACTAAATATGACAAATCATTGGTTTTCTAATCAATCGTTTATACATAACTGTATACCGAGACGGATTTGAACAGTGGTAACGGCGCTTTAGTATTGTTCAAACATCCTCTCTCTCTCTCTCTCTCTCTCTCTCTCTCTCTCTCTCTCTCTCTCTCTCTCTCTCTCTCTCTCTCTCTCTCTCCAAATAAGATATGAGTTGATATAAATTGCATTATTATATTTTGTACCTGTTATGATCACCTATTTCTCGAGGTTACATCAAACATGTCTATATAGATCAATCGGCATTGTATAACCTTGACATTTATACTAAGGGGCCCTAGATCATACATTATATCGACAGGATGTAATTTACAACAATTGATAAAGAATTAAATTAACGAATTAAAGACAGAATGTTTTGTAATCACACATCCTTATATAGATAAACTTTTTTCACAGACAATAACGGAAATTCATAAATAAATACCATTGAATAAAGACACGTTTAACGTGTGCTCAGAAGAAATCCTAACAGTGTACAAAACCTCAGTATACCGTACCTCACACGGCACCACCATATCAATAGAAGCGATTAGGAATGGGAGCAAGCGGAGCACTCTTTTAGGGAGCTTTGTTCATGCGACAACCCATGCTTGACAGGAAAATCACACTTGGCTTCTTTTAGAAGATATATATAACACGCTCTTGTATTCTGTATATATACAACAGGACAAATTTTAATCGCGGTGTTTCAAATATATTCATTTCAAATGCACTCATTTCAGAATGTCAGTGAAATCAGACAGTGAACTAATGTCGGGAATTGCACTTTGTAAATTGTGGTAATAAATTTCGGTCTTCACCTCCCTTTAACTGATTTCATTTCATTATTTTTACATGCTAACATTAGGTATCACGGGATAGGTAACGTATATAGAACGTATGTGAAAGAGATCCGCAACACCAGAGCATAATAGCTTCAAAACCTCACCATATTTAAGTTTTTCCGCAAAAATATTACTACGTAGTTGGTTGTTTTAAACATGAATACCCCCTAACAGGTTGATTTTATTCGTTGCATTGAATTTTAAGTGAAACAGCACCATGTATGCAAATGACTTAAAAACTACATAGACTACGTCATGACACCAATATAAGAAATGCACCAAAGGGAGGATGGTGGGCGTGTCTTTGCTTCTAAACAAAGGAGATTTTAAATCCGAATCAGAAATGATCTTACTGTTGTCCAGAGAACAAGAGAGAAGGAACTAAAAGCAGAAGCCATCGAGAAAGAAAGCGAAGAACCCGAAGATTTTGTTTACCGGGTCCGTGGGCCTCCATGGAAACGGAGAGTAGTCAAACTACAGGCAATTAATATTTAACAATCGGGAATAGGATGAATTAATTAATTTTGTAGGGATCATAAGATTTGTGTGAATTGGACTAATGAGAGAGTTATGTTTAAATCGAAATACTGATCAATTCTAAAACTATAATGTAGATATGGATATAGAGGCATTTATTTTGCCTGTTATCTTTTAAACCTCACTGTATCCAAATTTGACAAAATATTCAAATCAGTTATTTAAATATGCAAATTGGATTTGATTTTGATCAAGATCAAGATCTACTTATTATGTAAGTAATCAACACGGACTAGATGAATTCGATTTTAATTTGCTGGTGATTGGAATATCGAGAAAAGCGGACTTACCTCTTACCTTTTCACTTTTTTTTCAAAGTTTTATCATCGCAACCCAGTAAACTATTACAATGAACTTATTGGATTTTTTTTTGTTTCATTGAATGATATAGGACTAACCAGTAATCATTGTTTGATTCCAAGATGAGCTTTTGTATTATACATTAATCATAGAAAATGTGTAACACATAAAGCAGGCATCATCTTACAGTGTAAATAAAACCGGTTATCTGTCGTACGACATTTAACGTACACTTACAGAAAAAAAAAAACTAGTGGATACTTTGTTTCCTCAATTAAAGATCAGGCTTGTGTACTGTATATTATTTGGGAAATTTTTAGTGTAAGAGTAGGGGTGCAGAGCTTGTTGATATGGAGATATTTGTTTTTTGGCATTTTAGCATAATCAGTCATTAATGTTCTGACCACATCTTTGTTATCTTTGTTTTTCTTGACACATGTTTTGCATTCCACACAAACACAAATACAAAATGTGTTCAATAGATGGAATAAACAACATACTTAATAACATTTCTAAATTATCACTTCATCATGTGTAGCGTAACCCCTCTCTCTCTCTGTCTGTTTCTCTCTCTCTCTCTCTCTGTCTCTCTCTCTCTCTCTCTCTCTCTCTCTCTCTCTCTCTCCAAATAAGATATGAGTTGATATAAATTGCATTATTATATTTTGTTCGAAACAG